AACTAAAGAAGTAAGATCTACCAGTGACGTCCTCATGTCAACCGCTTTTATTCTTCTCGAGAATCGAACTCATGTCTTCTGTGAGCATTGAAAAAGAGCTTAACGGATATAAATGTTGCTGTGTTTTTCCTTCTTTAAATGAAGACATACTTCACCTCGCAATCTGTAGCTTGATCTGAGTTCTCGGGTGGTATCTCTCCAACACCAGCAGCACGTTCAGTATAGGAGGGATGATAACTTTGAGGCCGGAGACCAGTATGGTTAACTGTGGAGTAGACAACAGAGTCAAAGCACAGTAAAATGAAGTTGAAACTGTCCAAGATGGCCAAAGCATTTTCGAGGAGAAAAGTGGTTGTCTCAGACAGGTGGACGTGTTATACAGTGTTATCGTTAAGGAAAAAACAAACAAACAAAAACTGCACAAAAAAAAACAAACAGCCAAAACAACCAACCCCTTTGAAAACACAAAGAAAACATCAGTAACTGTACCTGATACTTCTGTAGAAAGTCACCAAAAGCCTCGGGCACACCCGCCCCTGGCCCGATGGAGAGGTCTGCCACATAGTAGATGAGTCCAGCACTTCCCCCCAACACACACAGACTCACGGCGTTGAACAACACTCGGATACAGTAGAGGCGGAGTCTGAGGGGGATACAGTTCGAATCTGTATTGAGTTACTAAAACTTTACTTTTTTAAATTACTTTTTTTCAGCCTCTGTTTCAGCCTCTGTTATGGCGCTCATATGACCTTATGCAGTTGCGAGCGCCGTAAAACCCTCTACTATAAACATTTTTAAAGCCTCTGTTACCTCCCAACCCAACTCTTCTTTTGTCTGCCTCTGCTCCATTTTCAGCGTCCGGGGAAAAAGGAGCAGAGACAGACCGAAGAAAAGTTGGGTTTGACAACATCAAGGAATGAGAGGCCTGGAACTCAAAGACACACTCCGGAAAACTGAAGACCGGAAGGAGTGGAGGAAGCTGGAGGCCATATCTTCAAAAGCACCTCGGTGGACATCCAGTCTACGTGATAGGTGAAGGTGAAGGTGAAGGTGAAGTTGAAGGTGAAGGTGAAGGTGAAGGTGAAGGTGAAGGTGAAAGTGAAGGTGAAGGTGAAGTTACCTTGCGGTGTTGAGAGTAGGGGATGGGGGAGAAGCAAACGTCTTTCTTTTGTCTGTTATATGGCTCGTTGCACGGTTATTCAGTTTTTGACTTACGTTTCTCTGCCCCCCCCCCCACTCTCTAACCCCCCTTTAACAATCTTTTCCTGAGCCTGCCTCTTTTTCTTTGTTTACAGAATGATCTCTGGTTGTATGCTCTCGCTGCTATAGTGTTTAGTTTAACTTTAGTAAGAGTTTTACGGCACTTGCAACACAATAAGGTCATATGAGTGTCAAAGATTAGAGGAGTTACAAGAGAGTAACAGACAAAAAAAAAAGGAGAGATCAGGACAATAGATGTTTGATAGGAAAGAAGGAGCAAACTACGCCTGAGCACCCACCCACCACCCACGCTGCTATACTGTCTGATGGATGGTAGTCTTGACAGATTATGTACCAAAACCTTTCAATTCGTTGTTTATTCTTTATCTATGTATTGCAAGTAGGGAGTTGAGCCAAAATGTTCTCTGAGAAAGTATGTCTGTCTGTCTGTCTGTCTGTCTGTCCGT